CAAAGATCTCAAGGCGATTTACAAACATTAATTGCCAAATACTTGTAGTGTTCCTTTGAGATATGTAAACCTGAAGTTGAACTAATTAAAAATTATAATCAAATCCCCCTTTACACACACACACACACACACACACACACACACACACACACACTTTACTTACTTACTTATAGGATAACCCTTTCTAGGCTGTGGAACTGTAATTGTTCAAAAGTGAGTACAGGGAACAAGAGCAACAAGCTGATTAGGCCAGCATGGCCTCAGGACTCATGAGAATCTGGACCTTCACTTTGAAGTGATTTGTCTATGTGGAAAACCAAAACAATGAAAGGATATGAAGCTAAGTCCATGAAAAATTTGATTTTTACCAAGATAAATTACCAAAAAAAAAAAAATGAGACAATGAAAAGTTAGATTATACCAACAAAATTCGCACACCAAGCTTGCACTTCTGGGATGGAAGGGGAAAATTCCATCTCAGTCATTATTAAAGCTCTTTCTCCATTCTAGTATTGCATTAGATTCTCAAAGACCCATGTGATATTCAGAGAAAGGATTTCTAATATTCAGCCTCTCTGAATGACCCCTGACATCCTCACTGATGCTGGTTCCTTGTGGATAGTGACTCTCTCCTTCCATGTCACATGCCTAGCACAGGGTTTCTTTGACCACACTATGAAGCCAGTGCCTCTGCGTTCTGGCCACCTCACCAGGGTACTGCTTTAGAGAATAGCAACAAAACAAAAAATTGGTTTTTGAAAAAAAAATTGATGAACTCCTAATGACATTGGATCAAGATTTAAGAAAAAAAAAGCAAACCAAATAATCAGTCTGAAGAACAAAAAGGGGACATCGCTATAAACTAGACATTAAAATGAGTATCATATAAGCCAACCTGTTGATAAATTAAATATTAGATGAAATAAACCAACTCCTAGAAAATACAATTCATAAAACTGAAAAAGTAAAATTTATATATTCCTGTGACTATTAAAGAAAATGTCACTAATTTCAGGTATATGAGGTAAGTGAAGCAGCCCATGCTGTCCGTACTATGTCATTCTGCTCCTGGCTTTATTTTTCCCTGCTGTAAGTAAGGGGGTTGAACTGCATTCTCATTCCACGAAGGAAACTCTAGACAAATAAGGTTTGACCAGCAAACTCTACCAAATACATAAGGAAGGAATAACACTAATATTACATATACTTTCCAGATTGCAGAAAAAGTGGGTCACTCTCCAAGTTTTTATGGGGCCGTCATAACCTTGATACCAAACCACAAAAAGAACAGCATAAGAAAAGAAAAACATAAGCCAACCTTATTTATGAACATAGATACAGAGAAATTTTAAACAAATAGTAGCAAAACTATTACAGTAAAACATGCAATATACCATGATGAAGTAGCATTTACTTCAGAAATACGTGTTAATTTAACATCAGAGAAGCACTGTCCTGTGCCCTTTTAACACAGTAAAGAAGAGTCATACGACCACCCCAGAAAAGAATAATTAAATTTAATATTGATACACTATCAATACTTCTACTATTTGAATTCAGTACTTTTAAAAGCTAGACACCAACCACACACACACGCACACACACACACACACAGACACACACACACACACACACACACACACACCAAAAGTGAGAATAGTTGCCTTCAGAAAGATAGAAAGATAACAAGTTAAAAAAAAGATGCTTGGTTATGTTTATTCAAAACTATGTCTACATGAATGTACCAGCAGTAAGAACAGCTTCATATAGATCAACACATAATAATGAGTTTAGAAGAAAAGAGCACAGCAACCCAGAAAACCTGAATTTCAGGCAAAAGGGATGGAAACAAGGAAAAGGTGTCACAAAAATCTTACCTGACAGAATTCTAACCAGATGTACATGAATTCTAGGTAGTGTGTGTGTGTATGGCTGGCCCTTACACTGATGGGCTGCTCTCATGAATTTTTCAGTTCCCTATGCCTGATGGGAAGCCCACTGTGAGAGAGGCCTTCTTAAGTGTTATCATAACTAATTACCTTCCTTGGTAACCCAGAAAAAACCCAACGTGCAACCCGGCTTCACAGACCGAGATGTAGTTCCTTCCCAAATTATAGCCTTCTCTCTCTGGAGCCATGAGAAAGTTATCTCTGTAAGCCTCAGTTTCCTTGTCTATAAAATGGAGATAAGTTGTTCCCAACTAGGAGTCTTGTTATTGGGGCCATAGTTGACATAGTTGAAGCATTTAGAAAAAAAAATTTTTGGACAGGGCGCCTGGGTGGCTCAGTTGGTTAAGTGTCCAACTTCTGCTCAGCTCACGATCTCGTGGTCCGTGAGTTTGAGCCCCGCGTCGGGCTCTGTGCTGACAGCTCAGAGCCTGGGGCCTACTTCGGATTCTCTCTCTCTCTCTCTCTCTCTCTCTCTCTCTCTCTCTGCCCTTCCCCCACTCATGTCCTGTCTCTCTCTGTCTCTCAAAAATGAATAAATGTTTAAATAAAATAAAGAAATATTTTTCGTATAAAGTAAGTTCTCAGTAGGTATTAGCTATTACTATTTTGATAATTAACACCCACCAGAAGGTGGACTTACCCTTTGGTCCCAAAACAATTATATCAGAATATAATCATTATATTTGAATTACTTGTTCTTGTGTAGAAGGGTGAGTAGAATATCAGTTGACCAATCCACACTGAACTAATAAGCCAAGCAGAAGCTGGTCCTTTCTTACAGTCTTGCATACCCACAGATGAACATCAAGCCTGAAAGCCCTTCATGCTGATTTCCCATCTCATGCCCTCCTATTTCAAGCGAAGAGCTGTTCAAACAAAAGTTCTCCACCCACCTCTGTTTCTCTCTCACATTCTCACTTCCACAGACATATGCATCTACACAAGAATTGCAAGGCAACATTTACAGACATAAGCTGTTTGTATCAAGAAAAGGAAATCTCCCCCACACACTCCAAAAAAAGTCTTTGAGCCACAGTTCTGCATCGGTCTTCCGTAAGATTCGCCTTACCCATTTTCATTCAGAATCTCAGGCTACAAAAGATGCATTTAAAAACTAGTTTTTCTAGGGGCGCCTGGGTGGCTCAGTCGGTTGAGCGACTGACCTCAGCTCAGGTCATGATCTCAGGGTTTGTGAGTTCAAGCCCCACATCGGGCTCGGTGCTGACAGCTCAGTGCCTGGAACCTGCTTTGGATTCTGTGTCTCCCTCTCTTTCTGCCCCTCCCTGACTTATGCCCTGTCTCTCTCTGTCTCAGAAATAAATAAACATTAAAAAAATAAAATAAAAAATAAAAAAATAAAAACTAGTTTTTCTAAAGGAAAATTGAGAGTAACTCTGCATTCTAAAATGAGTTCTTAATGGATACATTCAAGTGGGGTTTTTTTTCCCTAAAACAAAGGGACAGCTTGCTCCAAACGTGAATTCATGTGTCAACTGCTTGTAAAGCAGAAAATGCTTTCAGCTTATAAATGATAATTAAAAAAACAAAACAAAACAAAAACACTTTAGCACTAAGCTTCAGACAGGACTGTAAAAGGAGAAAGCTCAATAATATTCATCAGGACAGTTGTATGATTCCTTGTTTCAAATATTTCCACCAAAGTGTTAAACATGAAAAATAAACCCTAGACTTTGGAGGTTGGTCTTATTTTGAGCTTCTGTTCTTGGGATTCTTACTAATTGTAAATCTCTGAGGACACGGACAGGAGTGGTTACCTGGGAAGCCCAGTGTGACAGCCACTGGAAGCAGAATCTGGAAGCAAGTCACTTCTGCTGCACCGATGGCCTCGGACTACTCACGTCAGTGACATCAAGCATTGTGCTGAGGCTTTGGGCAAGAAGTAAAAATTAAAGATGCATGGTTAGACAAAACCAGCATCCTATAGTAAATGCCCAGGTTTGGTGCAAATGGAGAAAAACGGTGGATTTACGTTAGCAGTTTTCTCCAGGTGAATTAGATTTTTCACTGAGCACGCAACTGTTACCTCTTGTTGCTCACTAACTGCTTCAGTAAGTTCTAGAGAATTTGAGGCAAGTGGTCCTATTGGTTCCTTGGCCCTAACATACTTTGCAGAGGACATAAGTCAAACTAGTATATGATTATGTGGGTCCTAATTAGAATGCAGTGGTCATGTGCATATGCCTTTCATTGTTATTCCCTACATTTTCAAAAGGTGAATTTGTTAACCCCAGAAAAAAAAAATCAAGTCCATTCACCATAGATGGGAAAAAGAATTTGCAAAAAACAAAAAAGGATTCTCTTTAATTTTCTTGCTTATATATTCTAGACTGACTCCCAGAGTATATTTACTTCCAAACTGTGTTCTCCACTACCCACCCCCATCTTTTTGTATCTTACTGTCACAGCATTCTGTATAGATAATTCATAGAACTATAAATACTCTTCCAGGTGCAAGACTTTTAAAAAGTAATTATTCTCATGCCACTGCAGTTTTGTAATGAAATTGCTGATAAAAATACTCATATGAATATAAATCATATAAATGCTATAAAAACATATAAATGCACCACATCTATGTCTATATAATCCTCTCATGCAACACAGGATAGCTGATATGTATCTTGAAGGCTATATTTGGCTCAGGCTGGAGACAAAATCCAATCAGTAGGGAAGTGTCCCCAAGGTACTGCCAAGCCTCATTTGGCAACAATAGCAACGTGTGACAGCATTTAATGAAATATCATATCTTTTCAATTAAAATTTTATATACTAGAGGTTTACTTAAATTACACCAAACAATTTTCAAATCTAGAGCTTAGTGAGGCAACAGAGGATGAACTGTGTGCTATTTTGGAGCATTCATGTGAACACCATCATTATTTTTCATCATTAAAAAAACACTTCCCCCAAATAATAAATATTGAGAGAAATGAGCATCCTATAATACAACATCTATTTTTATTTTAAATGATTTATCCCTTTCTGGAGAGCCAAAAAAAATTAAACTTCATCAAAAGTCCTATTCAGGCTTTCCAAACCAGAATTAATAGCCTGTCATTTTACGTATGCAGTTCTTTCAATTCTGTGATTATGGAACAGTGGTTTTCTGATTTGTGTCTTCCAATGTGGGCAGCTGATTGTACACTGTGGTTAGCTGATATCTGTCTGGGAGGAAAGTTATCACCAGTGCATTGTGGGATGTTGTGGTCCAGAATGCTTGCCAGTTGCAAAGTCTGACAATCAGAAAAGGAGCAAAATACATTCAGCACCTCCTTTGTTTAGTCCCAATTACAAAAGCTGCAGACATACATTTTATAAAAGATTGATTAAACATTTCAAACAATCACTGTAGATGGAACTGGTAGATGCCAGATTGTCAGCACCAAACTATCCAGACAAGGAAAAGGCAATTTTAGATGAAAGGAGTGATTTTTTTTTCATTTATTATTATTATGTGTGTGCATGTGTATATATGACAAGCTAATGGCCCTAGGAATTATCAAATTAGTGGATTTTGTGTCTGCTGATTTCTCAATTTCTCAGTCTCATAGTTAATTTATTTAACTGCCTTCTAATTAGTAATTCTCAGCAAATAATATCACCATTTAATTGGGTAGGCTTTGCATGCTTGGCAAATCCTTCAACATCTATACCTTATTATTCGATATTCATAACACTTTTGGTTAAATTGGGCTGATGTAATATTACCAATAAAAAAAAAAACTTGAAACTCAGAGAAGGTATATGACTTACCTCAGGTTTACACTGCTTTTTTAAAGGCTGTAACTAAACAGAATATCCTCATTCCTAGTAGGATGATCTTTCTACTATCATTATAGCCACTCATAATGATGTTTTTTCATGCATTGTGCAACTGGTCCTGAAAACAGAAGTAAAGATAAGAGCAATCATTTGATATAGATTGTTCTGTGTACCAACAGTTCCAGATAACAGAGTCCCCATAAAATACAAGGATTATTATAATTTTTGGAAGTGTCAAAAATAATTAGATGGTTGTTGCTAGACACTGGCCAGCTGATGGACTGGTTGAGATACCTTCACAAATAGGATTTCAGAGAAGTCAAAGCTGAAATTCTACTGATGACTCTTCCCTTTTGGTTGCATGTCACCCAAATCCCCATCTTCCTATCATCCTAAGACCCATAACTGTTCCAAACAGTGAAGAGGGGCAGACAAGGTACCTTCCTACTCCACTACAAAATCTGTTTTGTCCCTACTAAGAAGTAACATGTATCAGTAACAACTTAAATCAGTACACATTTCCTCATGTCAATATATTGCAACATATCTTAACTCATTTGATCCTAAGATCTTTGTGCAATAAGCAAATATTAAAAACGACATTTGAAAGAGAGAGAGACACCATTGAGACTCAGCAAAGTGAAGTGATATCTGTGAGGTTCCGCAGCTCATAAGAGGTAGGTCAGGAATAATAATTCAAATCTTTTGACTCCAAATTCAGCACCTTTCAATCACATCTATGAGACCAGAGAACTCAGGAACTTTCCCTGGAGAGTTTATATATATATATATATATATATATATATATATTTTGCTTCTTCTGTTCTCTCACTAGGGGTGACTAGGTGCTCATTGCCCAGAGATTCTGCATGAAGGGTTCCTTGCCACTTCCAGGTAGATATAAGAGGAATGCTGAGATCTTTTTTCTGTTTTCTTTTCCCATCAACTAAAATGGTGATATGTAGACTCCCTCTGTTAGAGAAACACAAGCACAACTGGTATAGGAAACAAATGTGTGCTGCTGGAAGCTTATATAATTTTGGTGGCCCTTTTCAAGAAAAATAATACAAAATTATAACACAAAATTAGATATTAAAGCAAATTTTACTTAAAATGAATATAATCTCAAACCAATTACAAATCTTTAAAAACTGACAAACTGAGGGGCACCTGGTGGCTCAGTTGGTTAAGCACTGACTCCTGACTCTGGCTCAGGTCATGATCTCACAGTTCATGGGATGGAGCCTCATGTCAGGCTCTGCACTGACAGCACAGACCCTGCTTGGGATTCTCTCTCTCCCTCTCTCTCTCTCTCCCCCCCCTCCCTGCTCATGCACACATGTGCTCTCTCTGAAAATAAATAAATAAAACTTTAAAAAAACACTGACAAATGGCAATATGCAAAAAACTAATATCATTATTTATTTATAAACTAATACATGTCTAAAATACTATTTTCATATATTTTCTTGCTGAATATAATTTGCTTCTTTAAATGATGAGGATTTTGTCATATAATTTTCTTTTAAGTTTATTTATTCATTTTGAGAGAGAGAGAGAGATCTCAAGTCAGGGAGGGGCAGAGAGAGAGAGGAAAAGTCAGAATCCCAAGCAGGCTCTGCACTGTCAGCACAGAGCCCAATGAGGGGCTCAAACCCACAAACGGAGGGATCATGATCTGAGCCAAGGTCAGATACTTAACCAACTGAGCCACCCAGATGCCCCTGTCATATAATTTTCAATTTAAAAAAAAAAGCAAAAAAGATGAGTTTCATTCTCCTGGCATGTTTTTATTTTCTTTCCACTCACAATTTGGGAGCCAAACCTCATAGGGCCCATTCATATTGAAATATGACCTCAGGGATTCATCCTGTTTGAGTTGGCATAATGCATAAGAAAAGTATTATGGGAAGACATTTCTGCCCCAGGAGGGTTTAAATCTAGCTAAGAAAGAGCTCAGCAACACCAGCTTAGGAACCCTTCCAGCTAACCATCTAACCTGAACTGTTAGTGCAGAAGACACATGTAGAAACCTTGGAAAATACCCATGATGTTTAATCATAACAGAAGGACTAGACTATATGGTTCCTTCCTAGCTTGAGAAAAGTGTGGCAGAAAGAATGTCTTTCTTAGAGACACAGAACAAAAAGTAGTCTGCTCTTAGGAGCGATCCTAATAACACTGACTGATTCTCCTTTTAATTCACTCATTCAAAACACACACACACACACACACGACCTTCAGTGTACCAGGCACTGTACTAAGCACTGGAGACTTGACAATGAACAAAGAAGCATTCCATGTATGTGCTACCTTAGAGCTCACCTTCCACTGCTGAACAGATTGGCAGATTTAGGCAATTTCTACTCCCAGGTAGATATAATCTACTTGGATGGAAAAAGTAAGTTCCCTAGGAAATCTTGAACAATTGTTTTCTCAGTAATTGCATGGAATTCTTGACTCTCCACTGTATGTTGAAGTAACTGGAACACTGCTTACCTCTGGTGATGATCAGGAATTAGTATCATGGAGGCACATTTCACTTGCTGACGTTTGGCATCCCAGGTCCTTGGAATCCAAATGAAGTCTCTGTAGCAATAATGGTGATAGGCACATAAAATTACAGAGGCAATTTAAGCCAGAAAAGAAATATCTCCTCACGTGAACTCTCTATGACAGGGCTGGGCTGAACTACCCTATTGTTTTTAAATCCATACCACAGCAGAAAAGTTTTAAAGATGCCAGAAAGCCCTTCAGCAGGATTTAGACACTTATCCACATGACATGTCACATTTTAGGGCACATTTTCATCATGACTCATTGTGTTTGTCACAAATGCTTGATATTATAAACAAGACCCTCATTTTAAGAACCTCATTTTCTAGCATCTAATTATCCTCCCAAAGCTATAATCCTTTGTTTGTGAAATCATAATTTATTCCCATAGAAATATGATTATGACTTCAGGTAAAGGAATAAACAGGAGAAACAGATGAAACTTTTAAAACGATATTCTTCTTTCATGCAAATCTCTCTAGCAATAAAGTGAGAATTAAGAAAATAGGAAATGCATGATGAGCTGGTAAGATTGTGGCTAAATATACTCTTTCTAAAATTTTCTCAGCACCAGGTGCTTGAAAGTACACAACTTATTTAGAACTGCAAGAGCTATCTCTTCTTTTTTTCCATTCTGATTTAGGGGTACTTTCAATATTTTACAAAATTTTTACGTTACTTAATTCTTAAATTTCACTCTTCCTGTAAATCTTTTTAACTTTCTGAAGTCCAATTTCATCCACATGGGTAAAATTTCTAAAGGTCATATTTATGTCCATAGCTTTCAGTACGAATTCTACAAATTGTTTTGTAGGTCCTTGACTTTCTAACATTGTATATTTAAAATAGCAAAAAATGCTAATATGTTCAATGTTAAAATGAACCCCACGCACACACACTGTACATGTATTATAAATGTTATACATATACATATTATAAATGGTAATATGTTAAATGTTAAATGGACCTTACATACAATAACTTATTTACTGATATTGGTAGATAAAATGTGATTAACTTATTCAGTCTGAATTATTTCCCCCAAATTCCACTGGTTACATTATCATATCCAATGGTATATTTCTTCTAAATTCTTATTGTTGACTCTTTTTTTTACACTATCGACCTACTCGACTTCTTGACTCTTCTTCTCTAAGGCCATTGACATGCCTCTCTCCTGATTCTCTTTCTGCATCTCTAGTTATTACTTCTGGGTCTTTCTTCTATGCTTCCATGCATCTTCTGGCACCTTATTGAGACAATTCTACAAGCCTCGAACATTGAACCTCTGCATTTATTTCTCTCACTCATGCTTCTGTGTTAACTCAAAATCTGATGGCATGAAATGCTATGGCTTATCAATGTCTCCCAGACCAAACTCATTCTACCTTGCTTTCTCACTGGCCCATAAGATTTCTCCTCATAGATGTCCTCCCCAGAAATAATGTCATGTCATACTCAATGCACTAAGGGAAACCTTTTTCTAAAATACTCCCTTTTTGTTTTTAAGTAAGCTTTACGCCCAGTGTGGAGCCCAGCATAGGGATTGAACTCATGACCTTGAGATCAAGACCTGAGCTGAGATTGAGAGTCAGATGCTTAACTGACTGAGCCACCCAGGCATCCTTGTACTTCCTTTCTTTAGCATTGTTTTGGTGTTAGTTAGCTGCAACATTCTTTTTACCTCCACAACTAGGAACCTTGGAGTCATCTTTAAATATCCCTTTTGCCTCATCCTCTGCATCCAGTCTGTCACTATATCAATACACTTCCTTATTTAAAATGTTGCATTTCGGTGCGCCTGGGTGGCTTGGTCGGTTAAGCGTCCAACTTCGGCTCAGGTCACGATGTCGCCGTCCATGAGTTCGAGCCCCGCGTCGGGCTCTGTGCTGACAGCTCAGAGTCTGGAGCCTGTTTCGGATTCTGTGTCTCCCTCTCTCTCTGCTCCTCCCCTGTTCATGCTCTGTCTCTCTCTGTCTCAAAAATAAATAAACGTTGAAAATAAAATTAAATAAATAAATAAATAAATAAATACAATGTTGCATTTCCCTCCATTTCTACACTAATCCCACAATTGGGGCCTTCATCAACATCAACTAAACACTTCCCAGCTGATCTCCTTGCCTCAACATTACTCACCTGCCAATAGAAATGGATCAATCACTCCCAAACAGTCCATTAACATGCTAGTCCCTATTTCAAGAACATGATACAAGTCCCACTTCTGTATCTCCTGCTTCCAATCTAATTATCTTCTCCCCATCTTATTTATCCAACCTGATTTCTGACTAATCCCCATCGTATGGTTTGTAATATAGTAATCCCCTCCTTCCAAATATTTTCCTATGATATTTTTCCTACTATCTTTTGTGTGCAGCCCCTCTGTCTGGTAAAATATAAATTTTGTCTCCACCTATTCAAATTCTACTTCTCCTTCAAAGGCCACCAAAATTCCCTGCCTCTGACTAAATCTCTCCCATCTCTAAAGTGCTACCTCACTGAAGTTCTAAGCCACTTGGCACAATTCTAATAAATGACTACAACAGCCTGCATGATGCTTTTTGGCCAGATCTCACAGGGCTGCTGCCCTAGTGAATTCACCATCATTCTAGCTGTGACTGCCGTCTTTACACTTTTAAGAACTCAAATTCTTCTCATCATTCAGATATGATCAAGCCCTAATGAGTGGGGGAGAGGGAGAAGAGTGGGAGAGAGAGAGACAGAGAGACAGAGAGAGAGAAAGACTGGATTAGTCCTAAACCCAGGTCAACAATCCATAGCTATATGAACTCAAGAAAGTGACTCAAACTTTCCTAAGTCCTTGATTCCTCATGGTGAAAATTGGGGTATTAATATCAACTTTCTCTAGCACACTACACTGCTATGAAAATTAAATAAGATAATTTATGTGGAAGAACATTGTAAAGCATTATATAAATGTACAGAATTATTATTAATTCATGATAACAAGATTCATGAGGTACTTAGTTCTAAGCCATAAAGTTAATTTAATAATTTATAAGGAGGGATAAATATTTCTGCTGACTGGAAGATGTGTGTGCTCTTGAGGTAAAAGCATACTTGGATTAAAGGATTGAAGGAACTGAGTAAATAATTATCAGATTTGGGGAAAATAAATCCTAACAGATTTGAATGGTCTTGAGTGAGAGTTTGCAATAATTCTTGATATTTTAGGGGATGGTAGATAAGTAGTAAAAATAAGAATCATGGACTCTTTTCTGCAGATATCCAGCTCCACCTTGGCATGGAGATTTGTGTTAGCTTTGAAATCAGAAGATGGGTGTATTTTCTGAATTTATGTATTCCTCATGCAGTTGGAGACTAGTTGTACCTTATCACTGATAATTAACTCCTATGATAATATGACTTATGTTTTCACGTCCCTTAGCAGCATATTATCTCTAAGAATAATTTGCTTTCCCCTGTGCATTCCATTATTGATTTTTTTTTTGACGAATGTGCAAATAACACAGTCTAAGATCATACCCTAGCTCTGTCCCTTACTAGTTATGTTATCTTGAGCAAGTGACTTCACACGCCTCTCTTCTCAGTTTTCCCATCTGTAAAATGGAAATAATGATGTACTTACATCATAGATTGTATTGAGGATCAAATGAGTTAGTACGTGACATATAGTAAGATCCGAATACATTTTGTATGTTGCTTTAACACCTATTTCATTATGTTTGTATCATAACCATCTCTGCATATCTGTCTACTTTGCCAGACTGTAAGCATCTTCAGGAGCTCTCTGCTATATTTCTCTTTGTGAACTTCTCAGTACTCTCAGTACTTTGGTCACCAAAAAGTGTTAAATATATTTGGGAAATAAATCCAGGACCCTTTCATGTAGGTGTCTTGCATTCCCAACTAATATATAATACTGGAAGCTTTGTAAGCCCTCATTCAAGGTTAAAGGTATGTCAGATACTCCTCTTATTTCCCCCTGAACAACAGGCACTTAATAAATATTGATGATTTTTTTACTTTCTGTGACGAGTGTTCTACCTAAGATTCTCGTGAAACATAAGTAATGAAGCATGTTGGTCCAGGACTTTTATCCCATATTCTCCTTTATCTTCCCTTTTTCTATATGCCTTCAGTTCCCACAGCATCAATCAGTGATGGCAATGACTACAACAGTGCCCAGTAGGTGCAAAGCCAGCTGTAGAGGAATCACCACTCTGATCACAGAAACAAGCATTTCAAAATTAATAAAATATTAATTGGTACTTTACTAAGACTTGGAAGAAGCTGAGAAGCACAGAAGAGAATTAATAACTAGCCAATGTTTTCAATATGACAGAAAACAAATCTATGAGAACAAGGCCCTTTATGCATTGCAGAGAGAGACTAAGAATTTGATGCTATTTATGGATTCATTTTCTTCACAGACATAAAATAATTCCTTTCCTTCCCAAAAGCATGGGTAATTATTGGTGGTACCATCTTGCAATGAGTAGCACTGTCACAAGATTATTCTTTTCCTTATTTTACATAAATTTATTTTGATGCCACTTGATTTTTTAGAGAATAATTTATATTCATATACTGTAAAATTCAATTAGATTACAATTTTTAATCACCAACAATACAATGTACTCTCTGGCTCCTCAAGAGAAATGCATTTCTCTAATTTCCTCCCTTGTAGTTTGGAGATACAAACTATATTGTTTTTTAAAAATTCATTCATGTGTCTATTCCACAAAATACAGCACATCTCTAATTAGGCTATGAGCTAATACAAGCAGATGTCCTACGTTAATTATTCTTGCAAGTACCTAACACAGTGGCTAGTACTTGACAGGTATCCAGTAAAAATGTGTGGAATAAATTAATGAATTAACAAAGGGACAAATGTATGCCCACCAAATTCTAGCAGTTTGGGAGTTTCAAATGAGAGAACTGAGGCTTGCCTGTAAGAGATTTACAACAAAGTTGTGGAAAAAATATATACTCAAAAGATAATAATATAGTATTAAACTTCAGCTTCCAGTTATAGTAATCTCTGA